CCTGCACTAGGGTGACCAGACGTCCTGAATTTTCAATGCCCTGTATGTCCCCGTCAGCCGTGATACACCCCTGATTTACAGCCTCACAACAGCATAGTGTCCTTCTTTTTGGTGTTATGGATATGGTCACCCTAACACACTCTCACACACACACACACAACTTGTTTAAATACATACATAGATACATACATTTATGTTGTTGTTGATAAATAACAATTAATTGTTGTACCAGCAATATCTCAAGCTTTGTTTTTTCCACTGTAGAAATCTCAAATGTCATAATGATTTGCCGATGCAAGAATACGGGCACCGTCAAATTACTTTGAATCGGTAGGGGATTTACCTCAAATAAAAATGTCTTCAGACCTGGTGGAAAGCCAGTTCATTCTCCGCTTCATGGAAGCAGGAATATATTGTCATGGCTAATGTGTTAGCAAGCATGTACATATCGGCTCGCAGGCTACTTTTCAAGCGACCCAATCATGGGGATCTGAAATTTAAATGTGTCCATTAGTAAGTAGCATTAAGTTTTCCGTTAGCTACTGTCAACCTCAAAACAGATTTTACAGCTCATAATTGTAGAAGAAAAATGTTTTCTATATTCCAATATAGGGCCTATGTTATCATCTTTTTGTAATTGTGTAAGTATGGGTATAGCTATAAGCTAGGAAGGCAATGATTTGCAGTTCGACGGACGGAGAGGCAAAGCTATTAGTTGGATTGAAAAGTTAGGCCAGACCTAATAAGCATGCAAGGATAGAGATATAGGCCTAGGAAGGGATAGTGTAGGGCAGCGATTCCCAAAGTGTGGGCCCCTGGTGGGCCGCGAAGGTACTGCAGGTGGGCCGCGAGAGGTAATTTACAATAAATAAATGTTTTTAACTTTCAATTTTGAAAAGTTTGAATAACATCAAAATATTTATGATGCGGCACATTAGTTATGTGAAACATTAATTGATGAAGCACAAACAATTTAAACGAACAGATTAATAAAACAAGGCTCTCGCTGGGAACGGCTGCTCTTGTCCGCCTGTCGTTATTCAACAAAAGGCGCCGCCAAACAAAATGTCAAATGCGGCGCCCTCTTGCAGTATTAAAGTAAATATACCGCATTTTCCGCACACCAAGGCGCACTTAAAAGCCTTTAATTTTCTCAAACGACTGTACGCCTTATAATCCGGAGCGCCTTACATGTGGATCAATTGGTTAATCGGTTGATCCATACTGGTTGTACACGGCGCTCAAGGCGCTCTGGCAAACATGCCAAAGCTCGGTCTACGACAGCGAGATGCTGAGCGGGCGCTCAAGCACGTGAGATGTGGAGCTTGTTTCAGGGCGCGTCGGAGAAACAAAGCTGTCGTTCTTGCCGAGCACTTCATGAGATTAAAGAGCGAGAGACGGTGCCCTTTTCTCTACAGTAGCTGAACCATCTTAACGGGGAAAATAAGTTATTCTAAAAGCAGCAGACGATTTAAGGCGTGGATGGCGAGGGGGGCGGCGGGAGTGGACGCACCTCGCAGCATCGATCGGACCCTGAAAACACAGTCTCCACATCCCCCCCATCCACCCGTCCCGACGCCAAACGTTTGACTGCAGCATCATATGCGCCTTATTATATGGAAAACACAACACATGAGCTCTGGAGAAAATGGTTAAATCGGTTAAATTTTTAAGGTCGTTTAATCATCCCTAGTTTATGTTTTGATCAGAGTTGTGATTAAAGGTTTGGGTGGGCCGCCAAAGATTTTCAGATTTCAAAGTGGGCCGCGGCATTCTTGAGTTTGGGAACCGCTGGTGTAGGGACACTAGCAGTGGGACAAAGCTATCATTACATTACAGGTCAGAAGCTGACGTTTTTATCCAAAGCGACTTACATTGCATTTTTAACCCATGGCTTTTTACATTTGTGCCTGCGGAGCAATTAGGGGTTAGGCACTCTCTCTACACCTGCACCATATCGACCCCATGAGTATCACGTGTGTCGGCGCAAGGAGACACAGCGGTGCAGACGCCAGGCCAGCATCAACATATCTGAAAGGGGGGGTAGTGAAATAAGGGGAAAACATCAGGAAGATAGTTAAGCAGTTAGGACAGAGGAGGGGGGGGTAGTGAAATAAGGGGAAAACATCAGGAAGATAGTTAATCAGTTAGGACAAAGGGGGGGAGGGGGGGGGATTTGACTAAATCGAATGTTCAAAGAAATATAAAAACTAATATTTTGGAACATTGCCTAGTCAGGTTGATTTAGTGTGAAAAACACTGCTCAAGAAAACATGAGTTAACTTTATGGATCCAGGTCAAGTTGAGAACGCCACTGCGCTGTGCTACTCCCAGCCATTTAATCTGATCAACCTTGAACTTGCAAACTTTCTTTGCATAAAATATTTAGCAGATTTTTCTGGTGAATTGCATCCACAGGGTCCATTGCCAGTTTTCTACAAAGCAGCCGCAGCGCCCTGTTTGACAAACTTGTATGACATTTTATGTACATATTAGGGCTGTCAGCCTGTTAGAGAGGAATTCCTGCAGTGTTAAACAGAGGGGGGATGAGAGGCAAACGGACCACTTAAAGCACCTCCATTACCCCTTTTCTACCAACAAGAACCAGGTGCTGGTTCGGAGCCAGAGCTAGAGCCGGTATCGGAGTTGGTTCAACTGACGAGCCTCCAAAGAACCGATTTGCTTTTCCACAGGCTAAAGAGCCAGCGCAGAGCCAAGTCCTACGTCACAGTTACGTCTCGTCTTTCCCAGCAACGTTAGCGTGGCGGCGCCAAACACAAACACATCATCAACAATGGCGGACGTTTCTTTGCTATTGATGTTCATGGCTTTGCGGACCTACATCGACATCCAAACACGGTGGATCAAACATGTTCGTGCGGCTCGCCTTTATTTGTACAGACGGAGATTACATGCGAGAGTAACTGTATGTACAACATTTATTTTTAACAATAAGATGCCGACTTTAGCCTGAGATTCATATTTAGCCTTAGCATGTTGCTAACCTCCTAACATCGACTTTGCTGATAATCGATCGCATTGCAGTTAAAAAAAATGTATTAAGCATTGGTTGAATAAGTATAACGACGCCATCTTTGTGAACACTTGTTTGTATGTCTGAGTCATAGGCAAAAACCACTCACAGTATTAAAACTAGAAAATCTGCAAACACGTGACCAGTAAGTTGTCTGAAAAACACAATGCATGAACCTAAAAAGACTGAAAAAAACCTTATAAATAAAGTAGCCCTGTCTTTTAAGTGGTACTTTGAATTAATAACCGCTTCACAGCTACAGCTCAACTATTTCTATAGTATTTATACAGCACTGTACACTTGATAGAAAACATATCTATACCCTAATCTTTACAGGCAATCTTGCAGCTCAAGGCAAGGCAGAGGTCACCGGTAATGTGCCCACGATCTGACCACTGGTGGGACACAATTGTTCCGGATTTCACCCAGTTACAATTCATGCAGAATTTCCGTGTATCCTCAGGATCATTTGAGCACATCTGCTGTCAGGTCAAGCATGCCATGGGGAGAAGAAACACAAACTACAGTTTATGTGTCCCAATCCGAAAGCGTGTGGCTATTGCCATCTGGAAACTGGCCACGGGTGTTGAGTACAGGACAATTAGCTGTCAGGGAGCTGCATGGTGGGGAAGGTAGGACTCAGACGCAGTGTTTTCAAAAAGAAAAGGGACTTTAATTGTCAAAAGGGTTTTCAAAAGCAAAAGGCCAAGGGGAAAAAAACGAAGACTGGAACCTGGAACCGAGGACGTGGACGTGGACGTGGACGTGGACGTGGACTTCCATACAATGACGCGACAAGTGACAACAGACACACATGGCTTAAATACACAAGGGAGGTGCAGGTGATTGGACACAGCTGGGAACAATCATGACATGACAGACAATCACAGCGGACGACAGGACAAGGCAGGAAGTGACGTGACCCAGGGAGAACAGAGGAAGGAAACTACAAAATAAAACCAGACATTAGCCATCTTTTTGGAGTAGGCCTCAGCACTGTATTTAATTGTGTTCAGGAATTCTGCAACACAGTTATCACAGTGCTCCTTCCTATCCACATAAGATTTCCTGATGCTGAAAAGTTGCTAGAAATGTCCACTTTCTTTAATAATCGTTGGAGAATTCCACAGTGTGTGGGTGCAATTGATGGCAGCCACATTCCAGTAATTGCACCAGAGGACTATCCACGAGACTAGTTCAATCGTAAAGGCTGGCATTCTATTGTTCTGCAAGCAGTTGTGGATGGCAAAGGTCTATTCTGGGATGTTTGTGTTGGCTATCCTGGGAGTGTGCATGACGCCAGAGTGCTACGACAGTCACATTTGTGGGAGGCCTTAAGTGACGGGGAATTACTAGGGCAAAACAAAGTGACTATCTCTGGCTGTGATGTTGGACATTACCTGATCGGTGATCCGGCATATCCCATGCAGAATTGGCTCATGAAGCCCTTTTGCGACACTGGCAGACTGACCCCTGAACAGCACACATACAATTACAGGCTGAGCAGTGCACGATCGGTTGTGGAGATGTCTTTTGGAAGATTTAAAAGGACGATGGAGGTGCCTCCTAAAAAGAAACGACTGCAAGCTGGAGCTGAGCAAGAGGATGGCACTGACCTGCTGTGTCCTCCATAACATTTGTGAGGAACATGGTGATAATTTCAGTGAAGAGCACCCAGACAGGACTCTAAACATAGAGCCTACTGCTCAGACAATACCTGAGCGGGCAAACACAGAAGGGGCTGACATCAGAGCTGCATTAATGATGCATTTTAACAGAGGGGAACGAGTGATTCTTTGATACGCCAAAGCTATATTTGTTGCAATATTTTTGTAACACTGCAGTTAGTGTTTATTGAAATCTACACTTTTGAATTGTATTACATTCTCATCCATTAAATGAACCATGTAATCTCTAAAACTTGCATTTTGTGAATCATTTATCAATCATCCTCAATCAACAACCCTTTCACACTTCTGGCCGGGATTAAAACCAACCAAGTTTTTATTAACTTCCAATCATGAAGTAATTTGGATTTTAATCATTTTTCATATCGAAATAATATAGATTTGTATATGCAGCTAATTGCATCACTTGGCTGTTTAATGTACACATTTATATAAAAGTAAATTGCATTAAAAACACAAACCATAATGCAATATTTGCATGTTAAGTGTTTAAGAAACTGGACCAGATATTTGCATTACTAAACATGTTTATTTAAACCAAAAAACAACAGAAATCTTAAAAAATAAAGTTCTGTAGGTAACAATTGTAAAAAAATATATAAAAAATGACATGAAAAGCGGCAACCAAAGTTATTTTTTAACTTGTGCCTCCAATACGGCCACCATGCGCCCCATGAGTCCAAGCAGGGTTTGTGTGTCCGCTCTCATGTCCTGACACAAGACATTATCCATTGCCTTGCTGTGCTGCAGGAACCTCTCATCTGCCCTTTCCAGATATTGAAGGATTTCCGAGGTACCATCTCTCTTCCTTTTTCCTGTGTAGAACAATAATAATAAAAAACGAATACAGATCGTCAAGGTGTTGTCATAGCATCGCAAATAGTTGTTTTCAGCAGAGAATTACGCATATGTATCTGCTATATTGATTATATAAAAAAAATGTATAGCATCATACTACATCAATATCGCTTCAGATTTTGCTCATGTTCCGTAATAAACAGTATATCAACATTATATAGTATATAGCAAGTTAATATCAGATTGACTTTATATTCTATTCTAAACTTTTATAAAAAGAAAAATTTGCTTTTCGTTCAAGGTAACATAATTTAATTTTGACATAAAGCATTTTGTATTCCTGTTCAGAAATTAAATGAAGAAAAACAAATATAAAACAATGTTTCAGTACATGACAGTAATATACAATGTGTGTAATATATATGTAATATATAAGATATATAAGATACAGACACATCTCAATGTTTGCATAGTGTATGGTGTGATAATTTGAACATACTCCGTTCTGAAAATGCTTCTCCAGAGCTGCTACACGATGGCACGGAAGAGCTGCAGCCCAGCGGTGGCGGCAACTCAACGTTGTCTTCACGGTCGTTGATGGCAGACAGTTTTATAAAAATACACACAAGACGACAGTGCTTTAACAGCTAAGAAACATGCTAAGATAAGAACAAGTCAAATAAAAATTGAACTTATCGCCGAGAACACAGTTGAGAACGTCAAAATGTGGATTTTGGAGTGGGCGCCCATTGTCGCTTCGACCGAGGTCCTTTTTTTGGTCCCTATAGTCTTTTAGTTTTTTTAGTTTGTTTGTTATCTGGACGAGGCTCCGGTCAAAACCAGCTATAGCCATCTCTCTCTGAATCTGCTGCAAAACCGGTTTCGTCCGCGAAGCCCCATCTAACTTACTCTGGACTTCTGAAGAGGACCAGAGTGCAAGAAAGCAGCTTGTTTCCTCGTCTGACCAGTGCTGTTTTTGCCTAGTAGCGTCCATTGTGTTGTTGTTTGCTCGATTAGCTGCTATCGAAAAATGGCGGATCACAAAGTTTCTCTCGTCTTGTTGGTCACGGTAACCCCGCCCTCAGCCGCTGACGTAAGCGGTTCTTACTTCTAGACCAGCAATGATATGGTGCTACTTAAGAACCACTTTTACTGGTTCGGAGCTGGTGCTTTGGTGGTGGAAAACCAAAGAACCGATTTGAAACTAGGCTCTGGCTCCGAACTAGCACCAGTTCTGCCTGGGTGGAAAAGGGGTATATGTTGTGGCTGTGAGGGCAACCGCCTCACGCAACCCTTTAACAATTGCGTGGTTGTGTTCCTAACCAGCCGTTTCACAACTCATCATCAGTTATTACTTGAGAAAATCTGTGGTTAGTAGAAATATACAATGGTAACCGTTGTGTTTTCTTTTGCATTGTAGAGAGCATAAGTAGACATAATGTCTACACTGGATGAAGGAAGAGGATTGTTTTAGATGTCATTCTTCAGTGCCTTTCACATCACATGCTGAATTCCATTCTCCTGTATTATATTAGAGTGTGGGCAAAAATCTCTTAAATGGATCCCTGATCATGTGAAGGCACATAAGAACAAAGTTGTCTGTCATTTAGGCAGACTGACCCTTTAACCACATTTGAATCCAGCTTCAAATTAACTAAATGTGTACATAAAGGTTTTTGTAAGTTACGGCATTTGTAATTGAGGTTACTGGTGATGTATTGCTGTATAATAAGGCAAGGTAAAGAGAGTATGGTGGCAAATCACTGTCAACGTGAACTTTCTTGCTCGCGAGACTAATCTCTGTTTGGGCTCAAAGATGTTTTCTACGCGCTCGCTGTTGTTCTTTTTGACAGTAAGGGGGCGGGGCCAGTCACCATGCTACAACATCTCTACGTCTAATTGGTTACAAACCCCGTCTCTGGATTGGCTGGAGTTATGCATTCACAGAACTATAGAAGCCCATTTCGATCGATTTTTTGAAAATGGAAATAATGACATAAGACATGCGCAGGCTCCTCCATTGTTCTGTAAAGTTGGCAAGATACTCACAGATTCAGACTGACGGACCGTTCTGCGAGCTGGACGAATCGGTCTTAATGTGCAGCCGGAGGAGTGCAGGTGATGATGGTATGGCGCAAATCACTGTCAAAATTCAAGAGCGCAAATCAGGTAGCTGCGCACGCATAAATCAAACCTCCGCGAGCAAACGTCCGTCTCTATTGAGTATTTTCTCAATATTGGGAGGGACACCCCCCCCTCCCCCAAAGGATGCGTGGTTACACCCTTGTATGTACTGTTATTATAAGCTTTATGATTGGATAATAAATACATCACCAACACCAGATACATAAGGACTGATTCACATCAGTACCTTTTAAACGACTGACAAGTTCTAATTGTCATGGCTTTATTGGCTTTATTCCTAATTTGCTCTTTTTCCAAAGCACCTGACTCCAGAAAGCTTCATAGATGTCATCATCATTTGCTTTCATTTTCAAAGCATTAAATATGATGACGAAGAGTCATCTTTGGAGCATACGGAATGGAACAATGCTAGACAATGCTGACATGTCAGCCTTCCCATTAACACACACTGTTGGACAGTTGCACCTGAGACTGGAGTTAATCTGGATCATCTGTCAACAGAAATCTGCTCAGGCCTTGTAGACGGGAAAAGAAATCCAATTTAAGTGAGCATACATGAGATGCATTTTAACAACAGGTGTAAATGTAATCCAGCTAAACCTGAGCAGAGCCAGGTATGAGACACATGCTGGTGCCAGTTGGAGAGAAGGCCAGAGCTAGAGAAAAGAGGGATATCGAAGGCATATCCGAGAGCCAGCAGGCACATCCACGGTGGGGGGGAGGAGGAGCAGCCTCCTGAGGAAAAGGAATAGCTCCACCTAGTGGAGGGAAACACCTGCAATTGCTCATTTCAATGCATGGTGGTGTATCTGAATTGTGTAGACCTTTGCCTTTAACTCTTGCCTATGCAGACCAAATAACAGGTCCACCCCACTTTTTGGTTGCTGCCACTTTTCCCCTGTCTCTTTGTGCATGCACTATTCTGCTTACTACTTGCTCATAATCACACATGCTGAACCAGGGTCAGCTCTTGCTTTCTACACAAACACACAGAAACACAATCACGCACTCTCTTTACATCCTATTCACAGAGCATGATACAAGGAGAAGGTGTCAGGCAGGTTTACCTTGCCTGATGACAACCATATCTTTATTAATATCTTAGGCAGCATTGGTAGTGGATTTATTTATTGTTTATGGCAGCAGTGTTTGTGTGTATCTGGTGGGGAGAAGAGGCGCTGATGTTGTGCTGCTTTGAGAGACGTATGCTGCATGGAAGGTTATGTGATGCTAGTTTGCCAAGTTGGGTGTTACTGTATCTTCATATAAAAAGGGGCTTCTTGGCAAGTGTCAAGGTGAGAGATATGTTAGTGTACACATACACGTAGTGTAAAGCAGAATAGTCATGTGGCTGCTCAGCTATTGCTGATGTTGAATGCACAGCAGCTATGAAATCTGTGTAACTGGGAGGACAGTGTGTTTATGGAAAAGAGCATGTATGTGTAGGTACCTGAAGGCTTTTTTTTGGGCCTCTGCTGTGAAAATGGCACACCCGTGATGAAAATTGTAATAAACTCCTAAACTACTTTGTCTATCTGGACATTTTTTGTGGGAAAAAAGTGGAATCCCTGTGAGTTCATACGTTACTGGTGAATAAATATATCTATATTGCACACAAAAATCAAGTTTGAATTTTGAGATTTGCCTGAAATTGTCACAAAGAGCTCTATAAATCCTATAAAACATTCATGAACCGGGCTAAAACCACATCTACGTGTGATAGCCCTGTGTATGGACAGTACACATGTTATGTTTTAAGTTGATAGAGTAAGGATAAACTACTCTAGAGAAGACTTTTGTGAAGGCCTCACGTCAGACGAACGTCTGAACCAAAATCTCAAATCTTCCCCTGGCTCGAAACACCTCATTCGACCATTCATTTCATCTGAGCTCACTGCATATGATCCCAGCCACAGAAATCCGTAGAAACTCTCTAAGTACCCTGAAGTCGGTACACCGCACAGAGAAAGAAGGGGTCGTAGCTCATTGCAAAAACAGCGGTTTAAAACCTCCCTACCGTGGAAACAAAGGAAAGCCATTTATGCTTTAGCTTCTATGGCTTGGTGGGTTTTGTACTGCATGGTCGGCATGGTTTGACTAAGAGTAATATAAACAGTATCACACTTATTCAGGGCGATCTGCTGATGCTGTTTGATGTTTTTTTGCCATGGTAACACTTAGCATCGGAGGACTGACCAAGTTGTACACCAACGTACGCAGAATTTTTAAACTAATTTGCATAGCATATTTATTTCACTAAATTGTTGTGTTTGGAATATTTTCAAGTGGATTGTGGCTTATTGTAGCCAGGACTCTTATGCTTCAAACCAGGTGAAGCATTCATTTGTTTGTGAGTACCCTAAACGTTGGATGTTCTGGTTCACACCCGGTTTTGTGTCACCTTTATTTCCAAATGGGGGACTTTAGGGTACTCAAGCAGGACGTTTTTTTCCAAAATTATGGGGTGGGTACACGTGCCAGATACCCAAATTAACGTGTAGAAGCACTAAAAAAGTGGAATGTCCCCTTTAAGGCATTGTCTTTCTTTAACCAAGATGTTTCTGTACTAAAACCTGACAAAGCTCAACCAGTTTTAGGTTTTTACAATTCTGGAAGGCACTGCCTTTGCAGAGCTGTGAAAGATATTGAACTGTTGGCCTCCACCCACACCTCCCATGACAGTTGCCAGATAAGAGGAGGAAGATAAAGAGAAAATGTATAAATTACAGGACAGTCACACTGTTTTCAAAACAGGAAACCTATTTTTCCAAACACAGTCCAATGCTTTAGTGTTTACAGGAAACATATACCGGTAATGCTAATTTTAAGACTCCAACTTGTTTTTAGGGTTTCCACCTTACACACGTTCACATGTTTTGATGTTAAAAAAGAATATAATTTGTCTTGTATAGTCTGTGTGACTACGTTACATTTTAGCGCCAGTTTCTTTAAGCCCGCCCTCCCAATTCAGACCAATCTTAGCGCAAGTTCAGCGTTGTATTGGCCCTGGTTGAGAAAACAGTTTCAAAATAATTTCCGCAAACCCACAGCTTTATATATGAAATCCAGACTTGTAAATTTGGGACGCCATGTAGAGACTTGTACGGAACTGCACAAGCACTATCAAAGTGACATTTTCATGATAAGTCCCCTTTAAGATGCCAACCATTGCTCTTCGGTCATTGCTCTCATTAGAGAAAATCTGATAAACCCATTGTGCTCTACCTGCTCAGCCACAGTGAGCGACTAGCTGGTGAGCATTGTGGAACCTGTAGCAGTTTGTCTCATGAGTTGTTGGGAGACCCCAGCTTAACGAGATTTGGGAGGTCCTAAATTCATCCGCTGGACACACACAAACTGCAAATGAATGGCTTCCTTCTGTTACGAACCCCTCGATAGGGTGAAGGCTCGTTCAGCCAAGGGGTCAGCAACATAAAGAAAACGCGATAGGCAGGAAGCGATGCAAAGATCTTTTATAGTTTTCCAACCTCCAGCCTCTCCGTTTTACACCTTAACATAACACAATAGTCGCTCGAACACAAAACACTGGTCTCCTGGTGTTGCAGCCGGGCCTGGCGCTCTCGCAGGTCTCCTCCTTTCCCGGCGCTCAGTCGCTCTCCCCTCTATATGCTCAGCCTGAGCCATCACCGCAACCGCTCTCAGGTGCGCAGGGGCAGAGCCTGCACTCAGAAAGGCCAAACCAATTAATAATTACAAAAGTAACAAACTCAGAAGGCTGTGGCCGTAACACTTCCCCCCCTAGAGGAAGAATCATTTTTTTTCCTTCCTCTTTTCCTCCTTCCTTAGAGGGAAAAAGAAAAACTGATTCTGCATGGATTCATACAGAAAAACCTGTTCCTAAATTAATCCGCGAGACAATGCATCTGCAACTACGTTGTCAGAGCCTCTTTTATGACGGATCTCAAGATTGTACGGCTGAACCATTAAGGCCCAACGCATGAGTCGTTGATTTTGGTTATACATTTTGCTCAGAAAAACAAGTGGATTATGATCTGTATAAACAACGACAGGAGACGCACTAGCCCCCACGTAGACGTTAAACTGTTGTAACGCTAGCAACAGAGCTAAGGTCTCTTTTTCAATGGTTGAATAATTCAACTGATGACTGTTGAACTTAGCTGAGAAGTATGATACAGGGTGGCCTAGGTTGTCAGCACCCTCCTGCAGAAGGACAGCTCCCACTCCAACCGCGCTGGCGTCCACCTCCAGCTGGAACGGACGAGTCAGGTCGGGGGCGGACAGCACCGGTGCACTGCAAAGGAGAGATTTTGCCGACAGGAATGCCTGCTCGCATTCGTTAGTCCAAAGAAAGCCCACTTTTGGACTACACAGTGTTGTTAACGGCGCAACAACAGTCGAGAAGTTTTTACAAAAACAACGATAGTAGCCAACCATTCCCAGGAACCTACGTAGTTCTCTCCTCGTAGTAGGTGTTGGGTAATTGAGCACAGCAGCCACCTTTCCGTCCCGTGGTCGCACTTGACCATTTCCCACCTGCTTCCCTAGATACGTTACAGAAGCTTTTACAAATTCACATTTCTTGAGATTCAACGTTAAGGAAGCAGCGGACAATCGGCCAAACACGTTATGCAACGTTAACATGTGTTCATCCCACGTAGACGAGTAAACGACAACATCGTCTAAATA